CTTCCACCCCTTTCTCCCTTTTTGTGAATTCCTCCCTTCCCCAGCACCCAAACTATCCTGTGTGTATTCCCTACCTTCACCCCACCTTCCACATCCCAGTAACCAGCGAAGATTTTTTTTTTTAACCCTCTTAGTATGGGTTCTTTTTCTTAGTCTTTTTCAATAGTAGTCTTATGCAGTATTTCTCCTTTTGTGACTGACTAATTTCACTCAACATAATGTCCTCAAGGTTCATCCATGTTATGTGGTGGCTTACAGCTTCCTTGTTGATGAGGCTTTCTGCTCACATAAAGATTTATGGCCTCAGAAACCCTATGCAGGTTCGCTATGAGTCGGAACCGACTCCATGGCACATAACAACAACAACAACAAATACCAAGTAAAGGAATTGCCGGATCATAAGCTATTTCTATTTCCAACCTTCTGAGGAAGTGCCATATTCCTTTCCAGAGTGATTGGACCATTTTGCAATTCCATCAGCAATGCAGGAGCATCCCAGTCTCTCTGCATCCTCACCAGCATTTATTGTCCTCTACTTTTTTTTTTTTATCTTTGCTGTTATTATTGCTGGTGTGAGATGATATCTCATTGTTATTTTGATTTGCATCTCTCTAATGGCTAGTGCATTTTGGGCAGTTGAAAAGATATCCGCTTGAGGACTAAGGTGCTCCTGACCAAAACCATGGTATTTCAATAATCTCATATGCATGCGAAAGCTGGACAGTGAATAAGGAAGACCATAGAAGAATTGATGCTTTTTAGTTATGGTGTTGGAGGAGAATATTGAAAGTGCCATGGGCTGCCAAAAGAACAAACAGATCTGTTTTGGAAGAAGTGCTACCAGAGTGCTCCTTGGAAGTCAGGATGGCCAAATTTTGTCTCTCATACTTTGGACATATTGTCAGGAGGAACCAGTCACTGGAGAAGGATATCATGTTTGGTAAGATGGAGGGTCAGAGAAAAAGAGGAAGACCCCCAGCAAGATGTATTGGCCAAGGGGCAGCATCAATGGGCTCAAGCATGGCAACAGTAGTGAGGTTGGCCCAGGATCGGGTAGTGTTTTGTTCTGCTGTACATAAGGTAGCTATGAGTCAGTACTGACTCCATGGCATCTAAAAACAACAAAAACAATGGCTAGTCATCGTGAACATTTCTTCATATGTTTGTTGGCTTCCCAGATCTCCTCCTTGGTGAAGTGTCTGTTCATGTTGTGCCCATTTTTTAATTGGCTTATTTGTCTTTTTCATGTAGAGGTGTTGTAGTTTCCAATAGATTTTAGGAATTAGTCTCTTGTCTGATGTGTCATTGCAAATGATTTTTCCCCATTCTGTGGGTTCCCTTTTTACTCTTTTGGTGAAGTCTTTTGATGCACATAAGATTTTAATTTTTAGTATGTCCCAACCATCTATTTTGTCTACTTTTGTTTGTGTAGTTTTCAAAATGCTTGGTAGTCTGTGTATTCCCTGAATCAGTGCCCTCACATTTGTCCCAATTTTTTCATTGATGGCCTTCATAATTCTGGGATTCACATTTAGGTCTTTAATCCATGCTGAGTTGGTTTTCATATAAGGTGTGAGGTAAAGGTCTCGTTTCAATCTTTTGCATATCACTTTCCAGTTCTTCCAGCACTGTTGAAGAGATTATCACCTCCCCATGAGATATATTTAAGTACTTTGTCAAAAATCAGTTGGCTGTACGTGGATGGGTTAATTTCTGGATTCTCAATTCTGTTTCATTGATCAATGTATCTTTCATTGTATGAGTACCAAGCTGTTTTGTCCACTGTAGCCGTGTAACAAATTTTGAAATCAGGGAGCAAGAGGTTTCCAACCTTATTCTTATTCTTATTCTTAAGCAGTGCTTTGCTTATATTGGGTCTTTGTCCTTTCCATATAAAGTGTGTAATTGTCTTTTCCGTATCTTTGAAGAACGCCATTGGAATTTGGATTGGGATTGCGTTACATGTGTAAATTGCTCTGGGCAGTATTGACATTTTCACAACGTTAAGCCTTCCTATCCAGGAGCATGTTACATTCTTCCATATTTGTAAGTCTCTTGTAATAGTGTTTTGTAGTTTCCTTTGTATAGGTCCTTTGTTTTTCTTTTACATTTATCCCTAGATATTTCATCCTTTGGGCAGCTATTGTAAATGGTATTGCTTTCCTAATGTCCTTTTCAGTGCTGTTGTTATTGGTATAGAGGAATTCAACTGATTTTGGGGTGTTGGTCTTATACCCTGCCACTTTGCTAAATCTTCCAATGAAGTCTAGTAGCTTTTTTACTGAGTCTTTGGGGTTTTCTATGTATAGGATCATATCGTCTGCAAGTAGAATTTATTTCCTCTTTTCCAATTTGGATGCCTTTTCTTTCTCTGTCTTGCCATACAACTCTTACTAAGACTTCCAGAACAGTATTGAATAGGAGTGGTGACAAAGGGCATCCTTGTCTGGTTCCTGTTTGCAGAGGGAAGGGCATCCTTGTATGGTTCCTTTCAGTTTCCCTCCATTGAGAGTAATGTAGTCTGTTGGTTTTGTATATATGCTCTTAATTATGTTGAGGAATTTCCTGTCAATTCCTACTATGTTGAGTGTTTTATCAGGTATGTATGTTGGATTTTGTCAAATGTCTTTTCTGCATCAATCTATATGATCATGAGGGTCTTTTTTATGCTTCCTGATTGCCTCCAGGTAGATGTGATCAAGAGGTGGGCTTCCCTTTTCACTCTTCTTGTTGCTTAACTCAGAGTAACTTTCACAGGTGTTGTCTGCCTCCCTGGTGTATGGCAGTTGGTATTGGTTCTTGCCTGGATTGTGGAGTTTTATAGGGTGTGATTGTAGCTTGACTATATGACAGCAATTGCTGTCTCTTCTTGGGTAATATAGGAAGAGAAAGAGTCCTCTAAATGTAAAAGGGAGAACCAAAAAACAAACAAACAAACAAACAAAACACAAAACTAAACAGAACAGCAACAGCAGAAAACAAAAATCAGATAGGATACTGTAGTCTATAATCACATAAAAGAGAGAGGAGAGAGAGAGAGAAAAAAATTGTAGCCTAATATGAGTATGACTTTAATATCCTTATTCAGCTTCTTGCCTTCAAGGCCGCCTGATAAATTTCAAGATGCCACTATGGGTTATTATGCTGTACCTCAGGATTTAATTTTCAGCCTGCTTTGTTTTTAGTCTCTCTCCCACTCCACAACCAGTTCCGGCCTTTTCCCTATTAATAAACAGTTTAGGGCCAGCTGTGGCTGTCTTGCACTGTGGGTGTGTTTTAAGCAGGGACTGTCCCTTTAAATGCTGAGAGGCTCTGTGTGTATGTATAGTGGAAGAACCCTCCAGTGGTGGATGTGTGGGTGTCCACTCGCTCAGGCACGCCTCCCCCAGTCACCAGAATTAAAGTACGCAGACAGTGAGAGGCCAATGAACAGATACCAAAAAAATCAGAACAAAAAATATTGTCCACCTTTTTCTCTGAGTTTCCAGCAGGCATTAGTCCATGGCAGGTCTGCTTGCTTCCCCACTTGATCTTGCCATTTGGTCTCACCCAAGTTGTCGGCTCCGGGGTTCTAATCCAGCAGGTTCGAAAGTACAAGATTTCTTGTTTCTGCTTCAAGTTCCACTAGCTATAAGTCTTCAAACTTTTAGAATATTCCTACATATGTAGTTCAGAGTTTTGGCGCTCTCCCCTGACCCTGATTTGCCTGGTATTCCATGTTATTGCTGACAGAGATCTTCACTGAACCTCTATCCTATCTGCCATCCTGTCTGAACTTCTTCCTACACAGATTTCTTTATTTTCTGTCAATTCATGTACCTTTAAAATTATTCTCCAATGCCATAACTCAAATACATCAGTTCTTCTATGGTCTTCCTTATTCATTGTCCAACTTACACATGCATCTGATGCTGTTTAAAATGCCATGGTTTGGGTCAACTGCACTTTAGTCCTCAAACTGATATCTTAGCTCTTGAACACTTTAAATAGGTCTTGTGCAGCAGATCTGCCTAATGCAATAGGTCATATGATTTCTTGACTGCTGCTTCCACAAGTGTTGATGGTGGATCCAAGCAAACTGGACTCTTTGACAACCTGAATCTTCTTTCCATTTATCATGACTATTTATTGGTACAGTAGTGAGGATTTTTGTTTTCCTTACATTGAGGTACAACCCACCAAAATCTGTGGTCTTTGATATTTATATTTCTTCATCAGTAAATATTTTTAAATTACTGATCTTAAATTGTAGGTTCAATAATTCTAACATTATCCAAAAAGAAAAATCCAAACTCATTACTGTTGAGTCCATTTTGACTCCTGGCAAGTCTATGTACACAGAGTAGAGCTGTATACCCTGCATGATTTTCAATGGCTATCTTCAGGACTTTCTTCCACAGTGCCTCTGAATGGATTCATATTACCAACCTTTCAGTTAGCACTTGAGTGCAAACCATTGTGTCACCCAGAAACCACCATACCCAAAAATCCACTGCTGTTGAATGGATGCAAACGTATTGAGACCATATAGAATAGAACTTCCCAGACAGTTCCTAAGGGTTCCTGAGTTCACAGAAGCAAAGTTCCACAATTTTCTCCCTCAGAGCAGCTGGGTGTTTTGAACATCTGACTTTTTGGTTAGTAGCTGAGTGCTTAACCACTGTGCCACTAGGGATCCTTTATAGCTCATAATTTCTACTGTGGCATTCTGAATATTTCTCTTCTAATAGTAGGTGGGATAGGGATATGAGAGTTTATTACTTTCATCCTTACATTACTGGTTTATGAGGATCAAATTGATAATATGCAAGCACTTTGAAAATCACAGTACTTTACATTTTCATGATCATTATTGTTGCTTCTACTACTAAATTTGGGAAGCTAAAAAACATGTGTTTATATCCATTGATGGTTACAAACATAAAGGACTTGCAATGTTATCTGTGACTGGCAATGTTTTATGTTTCCTTATTCTATTATTTTTTTGTTTTGTTTTTAAGATGCTGCCTGCAGGATTGCCTGAGCTGAGTAGTATCCAAGACCTAAAATATGTGTATGATAACCTTCGTCCACAAGACACAGATCTAGAAGCAACAAGTTATTTTACCAAGTAAGATTAACTGTGAATGTGTATGTGTCTATGAGTTGTTCAGACATTTATTTTGCATTTGATATGATTTCAGAATTATTGATCACTTTTATGAAACTGGATCCAACTTGTAGTTTTTCTTTCTAAGGGGTGAAAAGGAAACAGTGTGAATGTCTAGCAGAAATTCTTAATCAGTGTTTCTGCAGAATCCTAGTGTTTGCTAAACAGCCCTTCATATAATAGATTGCTCAATACAAGGTCACTAAAAAGAGCAACAGTTGACTTAAATAAATTGGTTGTTCTATTTGTACTATGCTGGAAAAAACAATTTATAAAAAGTGATATTTGAGGAGATCTGGACTCACAATTTTCATCTCTAAACAATATAAACATTCATATTTTTGGTAAAAGACCTATGACTATCTTCTGTGTTTAATCTATTTTTTATTAAATAAGTCTAAGAAGACACTAATATACATCAAGGTAAAAATCTGGACAGAATACAGTGACTATCAGTCAGACCCTAAATCATTGTCAAAAGTGGCACATTTTATAATATACGGTATTTTGGGAAAAAAATTTAATATATAGCATTATTCCTAGCATACTTAGGTACCCATAGATGTTTGTCATAATTTTTTTCTTAGCTTAACTAGAAATTTATAACATTGTTTCTCTCCTGTAATTTTTTCTACTTACTGACTTCTTATTTTAGTCTAATTTTTTATTTTTATAATAATTTCCACTGGAAATGTTAAATACGTATTATATTATTTTTAATGTAACATATGCTTTGTTCTTTGGGAGAAAACAGTAATTAAAATGAAACCTTTCCACACAGGTTTTACTTCTGTCCCTCTTCGAAATTGTATAGGACTATAATTAGAATTATTTGAGAAATAGTCCAATATGCTTAGAGAATTTCACTTTTCCAACCATCTCTACTTCAAGAATTTTAAGGGATAAGCTGCCCTTGTAGTTGAGTAGAAACAAAGTGACAGAAACATACCAATTTGTTCTAAAAAAAAGTCTTCATAGTTTGTTCTAATAATAAGTATATAAAAGATAGAACTGAGATCCAGAGAATTAAATTATTTCTTGCTCATAATTGAAAGAAGTAGCAAGATATAAGGTAGTACCAGGGTCAAGATCTGATCCCTCAGTCCAGTATTTTTCAAACATTCAATATTAGAAACTAAATGATATGATTAAAGAACACCAAATATATTATAGGAGTCCATGTTAAAAATATAACTTCCTGCTATTTAGTTGATTTCTGAAATCTGCCATTAATGGTTCATTAGTGGTATCTGGTTGAGTTGTTTTCTGTTTGTTTTGTTTTTCAGTCTTGAAAATTGCCTTTTAATAACACAGGGATCTCAGGAAGAAGCATTAGTTTTTATCCATTAACAAAATAACAAATATTAGTTGACAACTGAGGTAAAAAGCACTAACTTGAGTATTTGGATAGATGTTTTACACCCTTAGTTTCATGGCTCAAGAACTCTCGAGTTATTTCAGCTGCTAGGGAAAAGGGACTTCTGTGAATACATACAGACATACATACATGCATACATACATACATATATACATACATAGAACAATGAGAAGGTCAATAACTTTGTCTAAGGAAGAGCAGAAGGCTATTCCTAATATATCCTGTAATGTCCCTTTGGAGTTCTAAATAGTTCCAGGGACCTCATCAGCAAGAGTTTACAACCCTTTGTTCTACCTGCATACCTCTTGTTCATTACCTCCATCCAAGCTTTGTGGGTCACAAGTTATTAAAAATAGCTCCCTCAGGCTATCCATCCCAATTTAGTGTACATATCTAAGTGGAATGATGATCGTAAAATGGGCTGCAACATGTCCAGTACAATGACTACATGTCAGTGGGTGAGGTGGTAAAGGAAGACACATGGAAAGGACAAGAAAAGTGTAAGTGAAGGAAAACATGGTTGGGTTGTAGAAAATATGCTTGAGGTATGCTATTACATGGGCAGAGTAATAATAGGGCTTCAGTTTACTAACAGTTTCCCTAGTGCTTGAGAAAGGGAAAAACTATATATTAATTTGAATAGAAAAGCTCTTTCAGGCACTGTCCACAGAAAGTGTAAATTGGCTCTGCTTCTCCACCAGAGTCCTGTTTCTCCCCATTCATTTACTTCTACTATGGCTAAATCTGAAAACAAACAAACAAACAAAAAACCCAGAATCTTGAATATAGGTGAGCTTGCACAGGTGACTCATTTCTCCTTCCCATTCAAGAGGAAGTAAATTAATATTGTGAGAAGTAGATCTGAAGTCACCTCCCAGCAGTGAGCTAGACTTCATTATCCCATCTGCATACCTCTGTCAGGGTAATCTTCCCATTTGCGGATGTTATGTAGTGTCTTGTGTTCCCTATTGCAAACTAAATGTCTTCTAGTCACCTAAACCAGGAAACATCATTTCTCTGTGTAAGAACTTTTCTTGATTTCCATTTCCTACCTCTTACATACTAAGAATATATAATCTCATTGTCATTATCTAGGTTTAACCACCCACTGCTCCCCTCCACTCACTATTATTCCCAAATGAATGCTTTTCTGAGCAGAACATCTTCTGAGGAAAACTCTGCACATTTGTTACTACTTTATTTAACTCACATCTCTAACTTTACCAGGTATGCCCCCAAAGAATCATAAAATTCTGTAATAAAGGAGAGGTCTTAGCTAACCTTTCAATTCTACCCATTCCTTGAATCACTGGGCAATGAAACTAGTAAATCCTTCATGAAATGTCTTACTGTTCCAGTACTTAGTGAACCTCTTTTCTTCTATAATGCTATAGAACATGTAAACATTTATTCTATACTTAATTTATTAATTTAATTATAAACTGCCTTGTATATCAGTTTAATTAGTATATTGGTTGGATGCATGTCTTTCTCCCAAGTGAGATAGTGACTATACAACGGAAAGTCAAAAAGTATGTTTACAAAAACATAGAATACTATATTAAACAAAAATATAAAAATATGAAGGTATCATTTCTTCAGTTAGGTCTACATATCTCTGACTCTATTTCTCTAACTCTCCCCACAAAGGATTCTGTGCTCTTTGATTTACATCACATCAAAACAGTACTATTGGCATCCTTGAGGGTCTTAACTTGTGATCCTTTTAAATGTTCGTTGAGTTTTAAGGAACAAAAAGACATCTGAAGGGGCAAGATCATGGCTATATGGTCAATGAGGTAAGGTTTCCCAAACAAAATTCTTGTAGGACATCCATTCCTACCTTCATAAAGGGTTGTTATGAGGATTAAATAAATTACTATATAGAAGACACAAAGACAGGAACCTGACATATAACCAAAACAAAACAAGCAAAAAATTCCCATTTGCCATGTAGTTTACTCCAACTCTTAAACCGCATGTGTGTCAGTAGAATTGTTCCCCATAGTGATTTTAGTGGCTGGTTTTTTCAGAAGTAGATTGTTCTTCTGGGGTTCCTCCAGGTGGACTAAAATCTCCAACCTTTTGTTTGGCACCAGGGACTCTGACACATAACAAGCACACTATTAAATGTTGCCTTTTCCTGTTGTGCCACCATAGGATAAGCACTGGACCACAAAGTTGGTTGTTTGAACTCACCAGCTGCTCCTTGGAAATCCTACACAAGGCCACAATGAATGAGCCTGAACAAACTTAGTGGCAATTAGCAACAACAACATTATATGCCTTTTGTGTTTTAATGTTTGATCTTTAAATTGTATTATATTTTCAGATAATTAAACTTTTAAATATATTCTGAGAGGAATAGGTATTCTTCACATGCATATATTTTTAGAAGTGGGGTTATTGTCATTGGTGTTTGATATGAAAGTGATTCTTACTCAAGGTGACCCCTGGGCACAGAGTAGGACTACTCCATAGGGTTTTATGGTTGTGACCTTTCAAAAGCAGATTGCCAGTCCTGTCGTCTGAGGTGCTCCTGAGTGGATTTGAACTGCCAAACTTTAAGCTAGTAGAAAGGTTAACTGTTCATGCAGCTCAGGGAAAGAAGTGGGTTAGTGGGAATACGAGGGCAAGTGAAAAAGTATTTTGTCTAGAGTACCAGTTCATACATGATTATTTCAATCAAAACATGTTTAAACTATTTATATCCACACTTTTAGATTAGGAAATGAAGTCCCAGGGAAGCTAAGCAGTTTGTCAAAGGACACAGTCAGCAAGAGCCATAGCTAAATTCAATCTAGCCATTCCATCGTGCTCTCAAGTGTAAGGTCTTAACCATTGCCCTATATGCTTAAAAACAACCCTAGTGGCACTGTGAACTTGGCATTAAGCTGCTAACCACAAGTTCAGTGCAACAAACTCACCAGATTTGTGGGAGAAAGATGAGGTTGTTTGTGCCCACAGATATTTAAAGTCTTAGAAATCCTATACAGGGTCACTATGGATGGGTACACTCAAAATCATTTCTTTCAAGCTCATGCCCTTGTCTGTGTGTGCTGCTGACCAAAATGTTTTCAAGGCTCTCCACAGTCCACAATGGCTGTAACTTGACCAAGGGCTCTTTGTTTATCCTTCCTCCAGCACTAATTCTCACATCTTAATTATCCCAAGCCTACATATACTTCCCAAGAGAAAAATACTTTCTACTTTCTACTCCTGTAACAATTTATAACCTCAGAAACCCTATACAGGCGTGCTATGAGTTAGAACTGACTCCACAGCAAATAACCACCACCACACATACTTTGGACATGTTATCAAAAGGGACAAATCCCTGGAGAAGGATATCATGCTTGGTAAAGTAGAGGATCAGTGAAAAAGAGGACTTCTGCCCCCATGAGATGGATTGGCACCATGGCAGAAGCAATAGATTCAAGCACAATTGTGAGGATGGCACAGGACCAGGCAGTGTTTTGTTTTGGTGTGCATAGAGTCAGTATGAGTTGGACTCAATTTAAAGACAGCTAAAAGGAGCTCTGGTAGCGTAGTGTTTACGAATCGGGCTGTGAACCTTAAGGTC